CTCACTCTCTCTCTCTCTCTCTCTCTGTGTGTGTGTGTGTGTGTGTGTGTGTGTGTGTGTGTGTGTGTTGGGGTGTTTTAGAGTTCCCTCCATATGAAACAGAGACCTTCCTTATTCTTTTTCCCAGCAGTACAGTATTCCATTGTGTGCATGTGGATTGATTCCTATGACTTTAGGTTTTCAAATATGCTACATGTAATGGCGGCAGGAGTACATGCATCTGAAGACAACAGAAGTCTCAGGTGATCCTCCCAGCTCAGTACCATAACCATAGTTCTCTGTGTTTACTTCATTGTCAAGCCTGTGGGCCAAGGTGTTCTGTAGGTCACCACAGCAACTCTGCTTCACCATGCCCAGTGGTCACGTCACAGCAGAGATGCCTCCTCTACGGCTGGAGGATGGGGTCTGATTTAGTAAATTCCCTTAAGGAAATGCTTCCAGATCCTGTGGGTTTAACAATGCAGAGACTCAGCATCCTCCCAGAAAGATTCCTCAACACTAGAGGCTGCTTAATGCATGTCTGTCCCATTTTATGGTGTGTATTCTACTGGGCCTGTGATGAGACACATGGTGACAGTCCAAAGGAGCCAGTTTTTAATAGGAAGTGACAGAGGTGCACAATGGTGAACTACTCCAATGAGTAAGGAATGCTGCTGTTAATGTGACCAAGGCCTGGGGCTCAGTTGTCTGCTGTCCCCATACTGGGCGCCACTAGAGATGCCTTTAAGGCCTTTCTCCCATCTCATTAGGTAATTACTGAGGGACAGGAGTGAGTAATGCTGGGAACCCGCCCCCCACCTCCTGCCAGTATTTGGACCCAGAGCTGTTGTATGCTAAGCCCACACTCTGACACTGGTCTCCCTCTGTCACCCAGGTCCCTGTGCTAATGATTTTTTTTTTATAAAGCCTGGCAAACCAATCAATAGAGCCTGATGGAGAACATAAAGGTTACTGTTTGCCATCACTCACAGGTCTTCTGTACTTTCTCCTCTTTCCTCTCTTCTCTTCCTCATTTTATGAGGAACTAACTGTGCTTATCTCTGGTAGAAAGTCTGAGCCCTGTGGCCCCTGGAAGGTGCAGGAAAAAGAACAAAAAGTGAGCAGGTGGTATCAATGACTCATCAGTGTCCTGGGTTTCCAGGGGGATTTTCAGAGCCCGAGTCTCCACCCGTAGCAAGTGCCCAGGCATTTGTACTGGAAGCATCTACATATTAGTGTAGGTGGCAGATGGATGGATGAATGAATGAGGGCAGGGCCACTGTTCAAGGATGGAGAAGTACAGAAGACAAGGAAGGAGGATGTAGCTCAGTGGTAAGTGTTGTCTACTATACATAAGATCAAGTTTCAGTGATTTGCAGCATGCATGCACACACACACACACACACACACACACACACACACACACGCACGCACGCACGCACCACCACACGCACACACACACAACCACACAAAA